GGGGATATCTTGCAGGAAGTCAGCCTTGCCAGCTGAAGCAGGGAGCTGGCTAAGGCAGCTGCACCCTGGTGCAACCATCACAAAGCAAGAGGCCCAAGAAGTAGAAAGGCGAGGCTCACCAAGCCATTTATCTCTCTGCCCTTCAATTAGCCCCACATATTTATCGGCCAGGTTGGCACCATAAACTATATCAGTACGCTTTGTCATATGTAAGTGAAATCCCAATTTAAAAACCATAAAGGGGATGTGCTGAAGAGGGCTAAGTGTATAACCAGTGATTCCCCGGGTCAGGAGGCGGCTTTTCCGACTGTGGAAGAGAATTGGCAGGACAGTCACAGAGGCGGACAAACATGCTTGGTAAAGTGGAGCGGCAGCGACAGAGAGGCAGGCCGTCCACGAGATGCAGCCATGGCTGCAACAATGGGCTCAAGCATCGGAACCATGTGAGGCTGGAGCAGGACCAGGCACTGTTTGGTTCTGTTGTGCACAGGGTCACTGTGGGTCGGAACCGACTAGACGGCATCTAGCCACAAGAACAGTCTATTTCTAGATCTACGAAATCATTGAGCCCCATCTCGGGGTGGCGGGGCACTGTCCTGTCCCTTCAGCAATGCGTGAAGACAGAGTGGCATCAAAGCCTCTACCCTTTGTCTTAGCAGCACTGGGCCCAGTGGTGGGTATGCAGCAGGTGGCTCAGTTCAAGAAGTGAGCTAGGAGCTTGGAGCCTCCTGGGTCTTTTCACGCGAGGAAATACATGCTTTGCCTGCAAGCTCTTGTCATCAAGAAATGGTTTCCAGAACCCCTAAACCCAATGGGAACTTCTTAGTCATCTTGCTTTAAGCCTTGCTACCCAGCTTAGGGAGCGGGTGAGCCAGCAGCTGAGGAAGCTCAGGAAAAGGATGTGGGGTTTGGTATCCAGAACCCAGGTTCACCTCTGGCCCTGCCACCTTGCAGCAGGGCATCCTTGGTCAACTTCCTTCACCTCTCTGGTGGTCTGGGCTTCCAGATCAGTAACATGGGGAGCGTCCTGCCTGCCTCAGAGGATGGAGGGGTGGGAAAGTATAAGGGGGGGGGGCTACTCAGGAAGATCAGCAAGCCAGCGATGAGGCTGTGCAAGGGACAGTGGTCCGCCATGTCAAAGTCTCCCTCTTCCGCAGCCCACCGCCACCGCCCGGGACTTGCAGGCAGACAGCACCTTACAGGTGGAGATCTCCGATGCAGTGAGCGAGCGGGACAAGGTGAAATTCACTGTTCAAACCAAGGTGAGGCAGGCTGTGTTGGGGGGTGGGACTGGTGCAGGGCATGAAGGACAGTTCCAGATGACCTACAGTGTGTTGTGTGTGTGTGTGTGTGCTTGTGAGATTCAGAAGCCCAAGGAGCCTGCACCCCTCAGCCTCTTGCCCCTTTCAGGGGTGGGGGCAGTTTCCATCATAGCTTTTGGATGCTGAGAAAGAGCCGAGACCTCACCTTTCTTCAAAGCGGACACCTTGTCTCCTGTTCCTGCCCCACCCCTTGGGTGTCTTTGCCCAAGGCCCCAAATCCTGACCCACCCACTGGAGCTCCAATTGGGGGATTGGTGGCGTGGGATCAGAGAGGCCCTCACAGGCCCCCTGCCTTCCAGAGCTGCCTCCCCCACTTTGCCCAGCCGGAGTTCTCGGTGGTGCGGCAACATGAAGAGTTTATCTGGCTGCACGATGCCTACGTGGACAACGAGGAGTACGCCGGCCTGATCGTGAGCAGCGGGCAGCCGGCCGGCCTTTGGTGGGTGATGCCCCCCCACTAGGAGCATTCTCCCACCCATGCTGCCCCTCCTCTGGCAGATTCCGCCAGCCCCGCCGAGGCCCGATTTCCAGGCATCGAGGGAGAAGCTGCAGAAGTTGGGCGAGGGGGACCGCTCCGTCACCAGGGAGGAGTTCGCCAAAATGAAACAGGAGCTGGAGGCGTGAGTGTCGCTTAAAACCCCCACTCCAGAGCCCCGGTTCCTCCCTGACCCCGGGGTTGGCCTGCTCTCATCTCTGACCCCAGGGCTGCTGAAGGAAGGGGGGCCGGGGGTGGGCCGGATAGCCAGAACCCCCGTGGTTCCTCCAGGGAATACCTGGCCATCTTTAAGAAGACGGTGGCCATGCACGAGGTCTTTCTGCAGCGCCTGGCTGCCCACCCCACGCTGTGCCAGGACCACAACTTCTTCGTCTTTCTGGAATACGGCCAAGATGTGAGCCGGGCGGCAGCGGTGGGGGCTTACCCCCAGGGAGGGGGAGGCAGGGCTGGAGATGGCCGGATGCCCACACGGGGTGGGGGGATCATGGGAGGTGTCCCCTCCCCCCAACACCAGCCCTTCCCCGTGTGCCTCAGCTGAGCGTCCGAGGGAAGAACAGGAAGGAGCTGCTGGGGGGCTTTCTGAGGAGTATCGTCAAGTCAGCAGACGAAGCACTCATCACTGGCCTGCCCGGGCTCAAGGTGACCCTGGGCAGGGTCACCGACGCTCAAAGCCAAAAAGTCTCTGGCGGAGAGGGGGCGGGCATGGCCAGGTTGGAGGGCGATGGTACTACCCACCCTTGGGTGCCTGTGGCTGCCATGGGTGTCAGTGGGGTCCTGTCTGGCTCCCTTAGGAGGTAGACGACTTCTTTGAACATGAGAGAACCTTCCTGCTGGAGTATCACACCCACATCCGGGACGCCTGCCTGAGAGCTGACCGGGTCATGCGCTCCCACAAGTGTAGGCAGGGCCCAGGAGGCCCAAGACTCCCTGCCCCCTCTCAAGGGTCCTTTCTACGGGGGAGGAGGGCAGGAAGCGCCTGGGTGCCACAGGGGGTGGGACCGCTGTGCAGACAAACCAAGGGCCCCTGATGACGTTGTTCCCGAACACGACCAGGCCTGGCAGACGACTATATCCCCATCTCAGCAGCACTGAACATTCTGGGGACACAGGAAGTCAACCAGCTGAAGATGTGAGCCCGCCCAGTGCCTGTAACACTGCTCTTGACCATTAGGGGTCCTATTGTCATCTCCAGGGGGAGGGGTGCCTGTGTGCAGAAGCTTCTCCTGGGGCTCAAGAATAGGGAGGGGGAGATTTCCCTAAGGAAGGTAGGGGGACTGCAAAGAAGCCCCCCTCAGACCCTCACCTCAACTTCCTTTCCACTGCCCTCTAGGAGCTTCCTGAAATTGGCTGAACTGTTTGAACGGCTAAGGGTGAGTCTGTCCGGAGGGGAGGCCACCCCTTCCAGCCAGAGGGAGGGGGCAAAGACCCAGGCCCACTTGAGTGTTCCTGGATCATTCCAGCCCGGTGACACCTGGGACTCACACTCTGGCCATGTGTTAGAACATAAGGGTCCCAATAGGGCTCTGTCTCCAATCTGTGTGATGACTTGGGGGG